CCCCCCCCTCTTAGTGCTCTCGATCCTAACAGATTCATCATGTTTTAGTAGAAATAGAAAAAACATGAAGAAAATAAGAAAATAACATATTGTTTGGATGGTATAAAAATTATAAAAATATCAAAAAATCTATAAATTAGAAAAACTATGATTGTTTGAATGGGTCTCCATCAAGATCAACGATAATGCCATAATCGATCATTTCATGGGGAAGACATTAGCTCTCAAAGGCATGCAAGTGGAGATATTTATGAACTCATACCGCCCTCTCCACTCCCAAGTACGAGACGGAAGTGAGAGCTTCGATGTAATGTCATGGAGAGTATTGCTGCAAGTGAATAAAACTTAGGTTAAATGGAAGTTTTCACTAAATAAAATTTGTGGGAAACAAAATGTATTAGATGTGTGGTGAATGTCTCAATTGAAATAAATAATGTTCTATGTTTGGACCTTCCTTCCTTATATGTTTTTTTTTCTTACTAATTTTTATTGTTTTTATCAATTTCATGTGCATTACTATCTAAAGATACATCCTTTTATGTCTTAGATAAAATGATATAAATACCCTCCAAAGGCTTGTTATCAACTACTCTAGATGGTGTTTCTTAGTAATTCATGCACCATCTTTTTTATAAGTTTTTAAAGATTCTCTCAAGCTTTTATATAATGGTAGTTGTTGGAACACACGAAAAAGAGATAAAATCTCGAAAGTATGTGTTAGATTATTAAAAGATTTGCTCTTTCCTATTTCTCTATTAAATAATTTTTAGTTTTGACATATAAAATATATTTGACATACTTTTATAATCTACGATATTTGATTTCAAAAAACATAGTTCTAATATTAATTGTTTCGTAATTATGCTATTGTTATACAAAAAATTTTAATATTAGAAACTGAAATAATAATGATATATCAAGTTTATGATACTTACCTTTTGATACTATTTAGAAAGTTTTTATCGGATCTACAAGTGCACCATTATCAAATCCAAAAGCTATAGTAATGTCAATTAATAAAGAGAACTAGACTCGTCATCTTTTCTCTTTTTATACTAGGATTAGTAATAGTGAAAGATTAGTGACTAAAAGGAGATAAGAGAAGATATATAATCTCTCAATAACACTACGAAGAGATAAGAAAAGATCTATAATCACTCAATAATATCACATATCATATTCTCGTATTTTATGTTAAGTCTCTATGAGATCCTATCTATTTATAGGTGAGAGCAGAGGGTCTCTAGTAAGTAATTAATAAAGTCCCTCTAATAAAAAGTGATATCCTAATAAATTATATTTTAATTAAACCTCCTTTCTTTTGGTTGATAATCATAATTAAAATTTAATCATATTCATAATATATTTTATCTAATTAGATAAAGTCACGTAATCTAATAATTCAAAGCCATAAAAGATTTTATCAATCTTTCATTGTTTGTATATAAAGAAAAATATCATATCTTGATGTCAATCTTCGTTCTTTTGGGGTTATAGTTGATGGTCGTTTCTTAATTCCATCTCTACTACAGAACCGGACATGAGAGTTTCTTCTCATCCAGCTCCTCGCGAATGAAAGGATTCAATAATATTACAGATACGCATGTATTTAATAAACTAATACACTAAGACATTTATTAATATTGAATTTGTTTTGTTATACAGGAAGATGTATATACAGGATATACAGCTAGAATATTTATGTTATGCATATTTATAGATATAAATTGTACAATTCATATGAAGATTTATATATTAATTATAATCGCCAATCTAGTATGCTAATTTTTTTCTGATCTAACTTATTTCTTTATTGTGAAGAGATTTCTTATATTCATATCTTATATAATTTATTATGTTTATGTAAACGATCGTAGGGACATGTTCAACAAATTTTTTTGGATTAATTTTGTTTTGTTTTGTTAATCACGAGTGAAAAAGTTGACAGTTTAAGCACCTAAGTTTAATTTAGTAAATTTAGAATATGTATTATGAGATGCAAAAATTTTACTTTTATGAAATTCAAAATTTTGTTGAAAGGAGATTTTTCCAAGAGGTTATTACATTGTTCATATATTAAAAAATCTTATGATGTATGAGACAAAGAGGCTACTAAACTGTTTTGGGTTGCTACTAGAGCCCTACTACATACAAGTTTAACTAATGTATATAAAAATAGAGAAAAAATCATGGCTAAAGTTTACACATGTAAATTTTGAGAAAGAGAAATGGATTATTATTATTTTTTTCTTGCCGTCATTATGCAATGGTCATGGCTTACCTATTACCTTTATGATTGAAATGATGAGGAAGAATATTATTGAATAGTTTTACATTTGTCGTAAAATAACTGTCAATTTAACATCAACAATGGAAGGAGGATATGAAGCTCGTCACGATGGGAGGACTCAAAATCTGCCACATCAGAGGGCCCACCACAATGAAAAGAAGATCTGAAATCCGTCACAACTGAGGGAGAACTTGAAGCCCACGATAACAAAAGGATGACTCAAAATCCACCACGATGGAGGGTTGACTTGAAGCCTATCATGACGGAAAGAGGATTGAAAATCTACTATGATATAGAGAGGACTTAAAGCCCGCAATGACAGGAGAAGAGCTTGAAATCTATCACTGCAAAGAGTGGACTTAAAGCCCGCTATAGTGGTAGGAGGACTCAAAATCCTCCATGGCAAAGGAAGAACTCAAAGCATGCTACGATGAATGAAGGATTTGAAATCCATCATGATGGAGGCGAAGGGGAAAATATGCCCGAGGCATGTGAGTTGGGAAAATCTGGCCCGAGCTAAGAGAAACCCACTATGACGAAGACTTTGGGGGAAATGTGACCAAAGTATGTGAGTAAGAAAACTCGACCCATGTCAAGAGAAATATACTATGACAGAAGCATAAGATAAAATATACATGAGGTGTAAGAGTTAGAAAAACTTAACATGTGCTAAGAGAAATCAACTACGATAGAGGCGCATGGTCAAATATGCTTGAGATATGAAAGTCGGGAAAACTCGACTTGCACCAAGAGAAATCTATCACGATAGAGGCATAGGGCAAAATGTGCCTGAGATATATAAGTCTAGAAAATATAATCCACGCTAAGAGAAATCAACTATAGCGAAAGCACAGGGCAAAATATGCCTGAGATATGTGTCAAAAAAATCTGACTTATACCAAGAGAAATCTGCTATAAGGGAAGCACATAGCAAAAAAAGCCCAATGTGTATGAGTTAGAAAAACTAGACCTAAGCTAAGAAAAATTTGCCATGGCAATGTAAGAGAAAATGTGCCTAAGGTATGCGAGTCGAGAAAACCCGACCAGTGTTGAGAGAAATTTACTATAAAAGAAGCACGAGATAAAACATGATCGAGACATATGAGTCAGAAAAACCTAACTCGCTCCAAGAGAAATATGCCATAGTGAAGACGGAGTAAAATATGCTAAGGTGTAAGTTAGGAAAACCCGACCCATATCAAGAAAAATCTACCACTAAGAGAAATTTATCATGGCAAAGGTATAGGGCGAAATATGCTAGCGACATTTGAGTTGGAAAAATACGATTTGCATTAAGAGAAATCCACCACGGTGGAGGCATAGAGTAAATTATGCTTGAGGCATGTGAGTTAGGAAAACCAGACTCGTGCCAATAGAAATCTAATATAGCAAAAGTACAAGGCAAAATGTGTCCGAGGGGTGTAAGTCGGGAAAACCTGACCCGCTCTAAGAGAAATCTATCACGGTAAAGGCATAGGGCAAAATATGCCCGAGGTGTGTAAGTGGAGAAAGCCCAACCCATGCTAAAAAAAATCCTTCACGATGAAAGTGCGATGAAAAATGTGTCCGAGGCATGGGAGTTATAAAAAACCCGACCCATGCCAAGAGAAATTTGCTATGATAGAATCATAAGGCAAAACATACCTGAGGTATGTGAGTTAGGAAAATATGATCCACATTAACAAAAATCCTTCAAAGTAGAGGTGTAGTATCCTGGACAAAACTAAGTCTGTGACAATAGGACGAGATATGTCTAAGTCATGTGAATCAAGAAGACCCGATCCATGCCAAGAGAAATCCGTTATAACAAAAGTATAGGGAAAAACATGCCCAAGACAAGTGAGTCGAGAAAATCCGACTCACGCTAAGAGAAATCTACCACAGTAGAAGCACAGGATAAAATACGTCTAAAACATGTGAGTTGGAAAAGCCTGATATGTGCTAAGAGAAATCCACCACAACAAAGGTGTCCCGAGGCATGTGTTAAAAAAACTCGACCCATGCCAAAATAAATCCACTATGACAGAAGCATAAGACACAACGTGCTCAAGACGTATGAGTTAGAAAAACCCAATTCGAACCAAGGGAAATTTGTCACGGTAGCGCAAGGCGAAATGTGCCCAAGACATGTGAGTCGGGAAAACCCAACCTCTTCCCGACTAACGTGTGTCATTTTGACACCACGAAGAGATAGGATGGCAATGAGTGTCGAATGAATTAAATGTCATACTCTGAGCCCTTTAACAAGAGTTCTGAAGCACACTGAGGGGAGGGACAAATGATATAGAATATATTAGCGGGCAACTATCATTCGATATATAAGCTCGATGTGAAAGCTATGTGGAAGGATTTGCTCATGTGGATAAAAATACAAAATAGGCTGTTCATGATTGTCTCCCCTTATCACCCATATAGATAAAACGTTAAAAGTGAGATATTGAGATGGTTAAATATTGTAGTCAGGTATAAGCGTTAAAAGTGAAATATTGAGATGGTTCCATATTGTACCTTTTAAGAATTTTTTTTTTAATATCGAAGGAACCAGATTGACCCATGACAATAATTGAGATGTTTGCAAGGGATCACATGACAACAGCCAAAATATTTCAATGACTGAGATACAATATTTTATGTGCCATCGAACGCTGAATATTCCAAGCCATGGAATATTTCTCACTTTGTGTTAACTATAGAGATCTGGATCATCAAATCTCGCGGTTGGAACAAGAACAAGTGGTTCAGCCTTCCTCATCACAAGTCCAAACCTCTCACCGAGCTCAAGCTTCTCCCCCTCTGGAAGTTTCCAGCGAAAGGAATGCAGGAAGGAAGCCAACATGTGCGTCACCATCTTTTCTGCTAGAGAGATCCCAACACACAACCTCCTCCCTGATCCAAATGGCAGATAAGCGAAGTTAGTGCCACTGAACTCGTACTTGTCATCTGCAGCTGTCAGAAACCTCTCCGGCCTGAACTCCACGGCATCCTCCCCCCAAATGGCGGCGTCTCTTTGAATCATCCAAACGTTTACGAAGACCTTGGAGCCCTTGGGAATGGTGTATCCGCCCACGGTGCAAGGTGAGCTCGGCGAGCGAGGAACGAGGAGCGGAA